CAAAAGACCACATTAGCCTACATGGATAATGTGACCACAAAAGAGTGTAAATGAAGGTCATTTGTGATATACTAAGCATATAGCGGAAAAGATGTCACAAAACAGCATTCTCCGATTAAGAGATACCGACGATCATGTCTCACTAAAATAGTCATAACTCTCACTACGGTTTGAATTTCTGAATGGGGTTGGTACTATTGGAAATCTAACTTCAATACCTTCAAAATGGACTCAAGAATGAACTAATTTGGATTAGAAATGAAGGAGATATGGCTATTCAAAGTTAGTATAACAAAGTTGTCCCCGAAAACTGAAAATGGTGGGCTCAGGAAGGGTCAACTGGCTAATGGTGAGGGTTAGCTAGCTGAAACTGCACCATCAGTCGGCTGATAGCCTTTGTCAGTCGGCTGAAACATTCTCCCAACTAGCAAGCTCTCTGTTCAAGTCAAAAATGGCATATCAGTCGGCTAACTTTTATCACCAACGGACTGAAACTTCCTGTGAGCTAAAAAATAGGTCCTCCCAAGGTGCCATAGCCACGCAAACAACCTATATCAAGTACATAAGTCCCAATGATGTTCAAATGGTTAAAAATGCTAAGTATAGCCAACACATGGTGTCAAAGCATGGAGTCCAAGATAGTACACGATCCAAACTAATCCTAAATATGTTCAAATGCTCAAGCATGAAAAATATGTCCAACCTAAGATGTCTAAACATATCATGGACACATGTGATCAAATAGTGTGTGTAATGATTTGAGGTGACCCACTAGAGTTTAGGCTAATTAAATTTTAAATTAACCCACAACCCCTATCTTGTAGTGGGTCAAATTTATCATAGGTAAAAACCCACAAAATTTTGATGTCTATAGACTCTACACTCCTTTTCTCCTCTTTCTCACACTCTGTCGAGAAGACTTTTCTAATCGTTCTCTCCTTTTATAGATCCCCCTTCAAATGAATACATAACACACAAATATATATATTTAACATACAAATACACACACACACACACACACACACATCTCTTTATCTTTTTTTTTATTTCAAAAAACAAAATTTGAATAGCCGGCTGTGCCCTTCGACATGTCCAACCTATGAAAAAATAAGGACACGTAATATAGAGTGTCAGACACGTGTTTAAGGCTAGCACACGAGTGTTCGTATTCGACAAGTGTCTAACACCGATGTGACATGCCTCCTAAGTGTGTCTGTGCTTCACAACCTACTGTTTAACCTGTAAAAAGATGGGTAATGCTTATCTTTTAGTTATTTTTTTAAAATTTTAAATAGATGTCTAAATTAAATGGACCACATCAGTTAAGAGGATGAACTTCATCCTCCTAAGGAAGGACCCAAAGCATTGTCCTTTTATTTTTGTATGTCAAATTTCTATCTCTTAAACGAGAAATTCTATAATATCCCTCTCAAACAAAGAACTAAGATATAAAAAACAATGTAGCTTAATGGTACTTCCACGGCCTTTCAAAAGAGAAAGTCCAAGATTCAAGTCGATGAACTCATGAAACTGTGTAAAGGGGGCAAAAGTGACATTTTCTTTTATGTAATATCAAGGGAGAACATTAAAATTTCTAAGGTATAAAAAAATTTACATAATACTAAAATTACTGATATATAATACTAAAAAAAATTCAGCCCCACTAATTATACATTATAGTATCCGCACCAATCTCTCCGTATTTTGGCTCTCCAAAAATGTTACTTTAGTTTTTCCAAAAGCCATGCCAACAATTTCAAAAGCCACGTCAGCAACTTTCGCTTTCACTCCATTAGGCTCTCCGGATTTTCGCTCTCAAAAAAAAAAAAAATTAATATTTTTTTTTTTACTTTTTTCTAATGGCTATATTTTTCATCTTATATAATGAACACTGATTACATGGATTAAAAAGATAAGATTAATATTATAACTTTAAACATTACATTATCCATTATATGTATTAAAAAAGATACTACTAATATTATAACTTTAAACAATACATTATCCATTATATGGAATAAAAAAGTTAGGATTAATATTACACAACTTTAAACGATGCATCATCCCTTATATGGATTAAAAGTTATGATTAATGTTATGTTTCACGATATGCTAGCAACTTTCTAACTCAAATTCACCACTTGTTTGACTACGAAACACCTCTTTAGCTTTTGTCATCTACCAAAAAAATAATAATAAAAAAATAAAATAAAATTTAAAATAAATAAAAAACCGAATATTTAAAATATTTACGAGTTATATTTAAAATAGTAAATAACTCACCATATCATTAAGGCTGAAGCCACTGGGGCGATTAATTTCGATGTTAGTCGTGCACCTAGAAAATTTGCTGATTTGTTTTCGAATGGAGGACTAACGATTCATCAAAGCTATTGCATTTCACGAAGATGGAATACCAAAATGTTGTATATAACTTTCAAGGATTCGCTCCCATAACTTTTTCTTATTTTGATCTGCCTCCTTATTCGCATCGGAGGTAATGGACATCCACGCACAACATAAAAACCTCATTTTCAGCCGGGGACCAATTTCGATTTTGGATAATCGGTTGTTGTATGAAAGGTTGGGAGTTACATGATCGAGGATCCATGTAATCAGATTGAGTTTGAAAATAATAATTAAGATTAAGAAAATAAAAGATGAAATAACTTGAACTGTAGAGAATAGAGATGTGTTAGATGTGATGAATGGTGGTAGGAGTTGGGGTATTTATAGAAGATAAATGAATTTTTTATTTTTATTTTTTGAAAAAAGTTTTAAAATTGATTTTTTTTTAAAACTTTTTTTAAAAATTATAACCCTTAAGGCACTATTTTTGTCAGCCAAACAATGGCTTAACGGCCAAATGCACTGTTTGTGGCAGAATTTTAAAATTTAAAGCAAAAAAAGTTTTTTAAAAAATCAAATTTTAAGGGGAAAAACTAATAAAAAAAGGTTTTTTAATTTATTTTTGGCCTAAATCATTTTTTTTTTTGTCAAACAGTGCCTAAACAATATATATATTTTTTAATGAATTTTATTTTATTTATTAAAAAATAAATGAGCTCAAAATAACCTATTTTGAGGTTTTTTCCAAGAAAACCCATGCAGGCAGTGCTCCTGACTGTTGCAACTGAACTTAAATATATATATATTGCTTCGCCCAAAACGATGGTGTTTTGGCAAAGGGAAAAATAAATAAATTATACCGATCGGGCTTCGGCTCGCGGTATTTCGCGAGCTAGATTGCGAGCCCATGTGAGCCTGCCCAATTAGCGTCAGCCCGATGCAGCGTGTTTGGGATAGTCACTCGTGAAAAAAGGCCAAATTGCGAGCCCGGTGCGGATTCTCTTAGGTGATTGTGGGGAAATAGGTGTGTTTTTCTTACCAATGAAGGAAAAAACTGTAATGACCCAAAAAAAAAAAAAAAAAAAACAAAAAAAAAAAACCAAAAAAACCAAAAATAGTAATAATAAAATATACTCCCTCCGTCCCAAAATAAGTATCATACTTTCCTTTTTTGACTGTCCCAAAATAAGTGTCATACTTCAAAAACCAATATACTATTTTTTTAATATTCCTAATATACCCTTTGTATTGAAATTATAAAAGTTATTAAAACTTCTAAAAAAAGCTATTGTGGACCCCACAATTCAAATTTAAATTGGGTCAAGACAAATAACTTTTGTACCACTCATAAATTGCTACAAGGGCATATTAGTAAATTCATCTCATACTTCTATAAAAAAAATTATAAAAAATAACACTCTTAAAAAGTTGTATACCCCATAAGCGACACTCTTTACGGGACGGAGGAAGTATAAAATTTCGGCATGACCTCCGCAGAAAAGTCCCTTTACAACCTGTTGAAAAACATAAAAATACAATAGCCTCACTGGGCCTTAAAACTAATCTATCATGTCTTAACGCACAATACAAATATTATATCATATTTCCAAAATGATTACATACTTATAAAAAAAATCCCATTCCTCCATCTCATCCAAATAAGGAACACACTTAAGTATAGTTACATCAAGTTACAGTCCATAAAATATAGCTAAAATTTTAAAGTCTATAGCTTACATCATTACACCAATCAAATTAAAATTTCACAAAATATTTAAAATTACATTTACAAAATATTAGAGTTCTAATACAAAAGATAACAAAATTGGTAAAGACCTAAACCTGGGGGTCTGAATCGCTAACCAGGTCCTTACCCAAACCCGAAGTCAACTAAAGACATTACTGTCCTTAAGGCAATGAGACCGCATTTTTGGTCTCATTTTTCTCTCTCCCCGGCTAGCTCTCTCTCTCACCTATTTCCTTGCATTTTTCTTTTCTTTTCTCAATCAAACTTCAAACTTCAATTAATCTCTAACCACTTGGAATTTTTGGGTGCCGTTTGAGGCAAAACGGAGAGCACGGCGAGATCTACGTGTGCGTACAAACAATTTTAACTTTTGGCCTCCCCTAGGATTTCGAATTTGAGACCCATTCTGAGGGTTTTTCTACAAATTTGAGGTAGGAGTGCTCTAATTTATGTTTTCTTTGATTTTTTGTGAATTTCCCCTCTAATTTGATTCTAAGCATGTTCAATTTTAATAATTTGGTCTATTTTGTTGTGATTGTATGTAATTAAGTTGATGAATGTATTATATGCATTAATTGAACTTATAATTATGATCATATATTTGGTGGTGAAGATATATGCTTGTTATTGACATAGGAAAGGACGATAATGTCTTTAGTTGACTTCGGATTCGAGTAAGGACCCGATTAGCAATTCGGACCCCTGAGTTTGGGTCGTTACAAAAACTAAAAAATAAGACAATATTATATAAATATATAATAAAATACATTTAAATAATTTTCTATTTTAATTAGAATTTTAAAAAAGATTGGTGTTTTTTTTTTTTTTTTTCCAGAATCAATTTTAGAAAAAAAAAATTTATTTTCGAAATTGTTGTCAAAGAATTGAACAAACAAGTAGTCTGTACATTTTATTCCTCAAAACAGGGACTAGACATTTCCTCCAATCTTCCTTCTAGAAGGCAATGGCCACACAGACGAGATGGATGTGGGTGAGGACAAGCAACAAAATGGGAAAACGCCACGTGGCCACAACCCAATGAAGATGGGAGATCGTAAGTGAGTGACAACATTCGAATGATTGAGAATTCGCAAGAAATAGATAACACCCTTTTCACCGATTTTCATGTTTCTAGTTTAGTGATCTACAAACATGAAGCAGAAGCAGTCAGATACACACATACACACACACACACACACACACACACACACATACACACAGAGAGAAAAGATGGCTATGGGGGTGAAGAATGCACCATTGACGCTTGTGGCGCACGTGCTGGGCTTGGCGGCCGCGGTTATGGTGTTGGTTTGGTGCATACACTTCAGGGGTGGCTTAGCCTGGGAAGCTTCAAATAAAAGCCTCATCTTCAATGTAAGCCCAATCTCTCTCCAACCCCTTTCCTTGTTTTCTCATTCTCTATCATAATTGGTGTTTGATTATTATAATTATTATTATTTTGGGCTCTAATTTTATGAGATTAGAGTTGAGAGTCTGAATGGGTTTGTGTTTGATTCAGCTTAGGGTTTACAATTGGAATTGGGTATGGTTTCGGTATCCTCTATTTCTCTTTTTGTCAACAACACAACAACTTTAAATCGTAAATGCAAACAAATGTTGAATTCTCTATTTAATAATGTTGTAGCGTTGTAGCACAATGTAATATATATGTTGCATCTTCCAAGTGAATGTCTTACGTTATAGTCATCGTAAATGCAAACAAGTGTTGAATTCTTGATTTAATAATATTATAGCGTTGTAACACGATGTAATATATATATATGTTACATCTTCCAAGTAAATGTGTTACGCAAGAGTCGCATCAGTGTTGCATATGTGATTAGTGTGTTGCTCTTTTCGTGCAATGGTGAGTTTTCCTGGTCTTAACTCATAACCATCACACAAATGGTTTGTTCTCTGATAAACTTTTCTATTGTTATAAAATTTTTAATTATTTGAAGCGTACATTTCTTATACTTACTGTAATTTTAGTTTTCTTAGTAAAGTATCAACTTGTAATAAACTATTTTTAATCTTGGATGGCTCATTTTACTTTTTCTTTTTAGGAGGGGGTTTTCCAGGCTGTTGAATAATCTGTTGGATTAAAATAAAAACTTTTATAAATATATATGTATGTATGTGTGTGTGTAGGTATATATTATATCTAAAGACATGTGATGTTCAAATTGTGTGTCCATTAATGAGGTTTGATTTAGTGTTATTATTATTAATTTATTAGAAAAAATTGGGAGACTTCAATCAAGGAAGTTTGTAAAATTACCAAAGTATAGCAACCAGACAATCCTCATGGTTGGTTTTGGGTTATTATATGATGTTGCCGAGGTAGCATCTGTCTCCCTCAGAGCAATAGAGTAAGAACTACGATGTTTCAAAGTTCTTCTGCAGCTAGTTTCACGCGAACACCTAACATTCGTTTTAGCAAAAACACAACTACCATTCACTTTTTTGAATAAGAAATTTTATTTTATTTTATTTTATTATTATTTTTTTTTTTGTGGACATTACTAAGTACTGATCCTTTTCTTGGATAGTCGGAGATTTTTGGGGAAAAAAAAAAAAAAAAACCCGATTACATTTTTCTTTCTTGGGCTATATTTGCTGAAATTTGAAATCCCGTGTAATAGGAATCTCAGATGAAATATTTCCAACCATTCAAGCATCCTAAGAGTGGAATTGGATTATGTTCAAATTAGAATTGGATTAGGACAAATGTGGACCGAGGAAACATTTCAGAAACAAAATAGACAATTTTGAATAATATGACCCTATGAGGATGCTAGTCCATGATCATACCTGAACTTCAATGACAACCGTTACCAACATCTGATTAGGTTTTCTCAACAAGCCAATCCGAGTGACAGCTCAAGTGTTCAAGCATGGCTGGGTAGTTTGCTTTCCAATTTTCTAAGTACTTAGTAAATCAAGGGTAGTACGTCTCAATCTTAAGCAGGACACAGGACACTTAATCTTGTGAATCTCACATTTTCATTTTTTTCCTTTTACAGCTTCATCCTGTTGTGGTTTTGATTGGCTTAATTATTATTGGAGGTGAAGGTAATAATTATTTTTTCTTTAAGTTGCATAATTGCTGTGAGTTGTGGAAAAAATTTCGCATACTAATTCGTTTTTTTCCTTCTTTTTTTTATTATTTAAAATGCAGCTATAATGAGCTACAAATCTCTTCCTTTGAAGAAGGAAGTGAAGAAACAAATTCATTTAGTTCTGCATGCAATCGCGCTAACACTTGGTATTGTGGGCATCTATGCCGCGTTCAAGTTTCACAATGACAGCGGTATTGCCAATCTATACAGTTTACATTCCTGGCTTGGGATTGGGATCATCACTATTTATGCCATTCAGGTTAGTTATAAGTTCCTTTTATTGCCTGAAGGTGCTCAAATTCAGAAACTTATGCTTCTGCAAACAGGCATTTCTCGTCTCTTATTCACATTTGGAATCAAACTCATTCAAAATCCTCAACAAAATTTCACCCACTTTACATAATTTCATGCAATGCTGTTATTCTCACTTTTGGAAGGTCTTTTTTTTGTGATCTCGAATGTTAAGGGTCTGTTTGGTTCAGTTTTTTAAGAATTGAAAAACAAAAAAAAAAATGTATGATTATTTGGTGGGACTTTGCAGTTTTGAAAAGTGCTCTGTGAAAACTCAGTTAAAAAAATGATTATTTTTAGATAACTGTTTTTTATAGTTCTTGAAAACTATTTTATAATATATATAAAAAAAAGAACTAAACAAACCCTAAATGTTCAATTTATTGGTTGTTAATTAGAATATTCGGTTAACATAGTTTGGAGGAGCATGGATGGAGGGTATCTGGAACTCATGCGGAACTACTCTAGGCCAGGGCCTGCCCTGACCCAAGGCGACCAAGGCAGTCGCCTAGGGCCTCAGAATTTAAGGGGCTTCAAAATTTATAGGCCCATGAATGATGGGTCACCAAAAAAAAAAAATTGTAACCAAATACAGCAAATCATTTAAGGGGCCTCAAAATTTATAGATCCATGAATGATGGGCCATCAAAAAAACAATTATGTATAGAGGGCCTCACTTTTAAAGTTCGCTTAGGGCCTTTTAAGATTTTTTCAATCTCTAGGCGGGCCTTGCTCTAGGTATAATTGAATCCAAAAGCTCTCATCCTACACGTCTTACATTAGGAAATTGAGTCATAGATAGTTCTTTTAACCTTTAGCCCTAGCACAAAAACATGAAACTTATATGACAATGGTGGAATTATTTGCAGTGGATATATGGATTCGTGACGTTCTTCTACCCCGGGGGATCAGCTGCAATAAGACGCGAATCGCTTCCTTGGCATGTGCTAATCGGGCTGTTTGTGTATGTGTTGGCCGTTGGCAATGCTGCATTGGGGTTTCTGGAGAAGCTTACGTTCCTTGAGAACTTTGGCCTCGCTAAATATAGCTCTGAAGCCTTCCTTGTCAACTTCACTGCAATAGTTACAATACTATATGGAGCCTCTGTGCTATTGGCGGTTCGACCTCAGGCTCGGGTTGAAGATGGCCATAGCTATTCACCTTTATTAGAATGATCAAGCTCTTGTATATTCAGGGTGTGTGTTGATGGTATCAATCGATGATGTGTGACACAATGTCTATGAAGAGGATTAATAATATTTGATGTTTGGAGATTTATTTTTTATTTTGGGTAATTAAATCACCTAAATAATAAATTAATGTAAGAAATAAATATCGGCCACTATTTTCGTATTGATAATTAAAAATTAGCAATGGTATAAAAAAATAATAATAAATAAATAAAAACACTCTCTGGTAACAAGAAGTCTGAATTTTTCATATTAAACCGTTTTACAGTGCTTACCGTTATATATTTATTTATTTTAAATTTTACAAAGGTCTATTTTCGTTTTTAGTTAGAAAGAGATTGTCGAGGCGACAGGTGAACACATTCCTCGAGGCATTTCAACTCTGCTGGCTATGATTGCGAAGGGTCACAACAGCTCTCTTTCACAGCATCAAAACAAAAATAAGTTGCAATCAACAACAGGGTAGGATCAGAATTACATCATTGTCTTAATAGCGTGGGCACACAATGGATAAATAATACAAATATATATGTATATATATTTTATTTTCTTTAAATATATCCTTGTCTAAATTTTCTACTATGAAAATACTCAGAATAAATAAATAAATACAAATGATATGTAATAAAGTTTTAAAGAAAATAAAATAATTAATTTGTGTTAGAGTTTAGATAATTTGTGTTAGTGTTTTATAGAAACTCTTTTAATATATTTTTATTTAATGTGATTGAGTTTTTATTGAAAATAAAATAGGTAATTTGTGTTAAAAATTTTATATAAATTATTATTATTTTTAAATATATATATCCTTGTCTAATTAGATTTTCTTTTATTAAAAATCTGCAATTTGTAGAAAAATTATTTTATTTTTTATATCAATTAATAAATATTTTTTATATAAATAATTCTTGTCTAATTATATTTTTTTAATTAAAAACTCATAATAAATAGATAAATCGGTAATTTGGGTTAGAATTTTATATAAACTCTTTTAAAAATTTATTTTATTTTCTTTAAATATATCATTGTCTAATTAGACTTCCTTTTATTAAAAACTCTTAATAAATATATAAATACAGTTTATATATGATAGAGTTTTAAAGAAAATAAAATAGGTAATTTGTGGTAGAGTTTTATATAAATTATTTTATTTTTTGTAAATATATTCATAATAAATTGATAAATACAAGTTATTTATGATAGTGTTTTATAAAAAATAAAATAGCTAATTTGTTATAGAATTTTATAGAAATCGTTTTATTTTCTTTAAATATATTATTATTAATTATATTTTATTTTACTAAAAAGACTCCTAAAAAATAAATAAATAGGTAATATGTGTTAGAATAAATCTTTTAAAAACTATTTTTTTAACAATTAATAAATATTTTTTTTATATTAATAATTCTTGTCTAATTAGATTACCTTTTATTAAAAAAAAAAAAAAAAACTCAAAATAAAAGATAGTTTATGGTAGAGTTTTAGAAGAATTATTATATTTTTTATATTAATTAATAAATATTTTTTATATTAATGATTTTTGTCTAATTAGATTTTCTTTTATCAAAAACTCATAATAAATAAATAAATAGGTAATTTGTGTTAAAGTTTTATATAGAAACTCTTTTAAAAAATCTTTTTAAATCAATTAATAAATATTTTCTTATATTAATAATTCTTGTCTAATTAGATTTTCTTTAATAAAAAATTCATAATAAATAGATAAATGGGTAAATTGTGTTAGAGTTTTATAAAAACTTTTTTAAAGCCTCTTTTTTATATCAATTAATAAATATTTTTTTTATATTAATAATACTCGTATAATTAGATTTTCTTTTATTAAAAAAACTCATAATAAATAGATAAATATGTAATTTGTGTTATAGTTTTATATAAAATTTTTAAATATATCTTTATCTAATGTGATAGAATTTTATTAAAAAAAAAAAAAAACAAAAAAAGGTAGTTTGTGTTAGAGTTTTATAAAAATTATTTTATTTATAATAAAAGGTAATTTGTGGTAGAATTTTAGAAAAATTATTTTATTTTATATATCAATTAATAAATTTTTTTATATTAAAAATTATGTTTAAATATCCTTTTATTTTAACTCAAAATAATAAATAGATAAATAGGTAATTTGTGTTAGAGTTTTATAGTAATTTGTGTTAAAGTTTTATAAAAAATCTCTAAATATATCCTTGTCTAATGTAATAGAGTTTTATTGAAAATAAAATGGGTAATTTGTGGTAGAGTTTTAAAGAAATTATTTTATTTTCTTTAAATATATCCTTATCTAATTAAATTTTCTTTTATTAAAAAACTCATAATAAAAGATAATTCGTGGCAGAGTTTTAGAAAAATTATTTTATTTTCTATATCAATTAATAAATATTTTTTATATTAATAATTTCTTGTCTAATTAGATTTTTTTATTAAAAAATTGATAATAAATAGATAAATAGGCAATTTGTGTTAGACTTTTATAAAACTCTTTAAATATATCCTTATCTAATGTGTTTTATTGAAAATAAAATAGGAAAATTATTTTATTTTCTTTAAATATATCCTTGTCTAATTATATTTTCTTTTATTAAAAAACTGACAATAAAAGGTAATTTGTGTCAGAGTTTTAGAAAAATTATTTTATTTTACCTATTTAAATTTAATTGGTAATTGATTTGTGTCGAAGTTAACATATTTGAAATTGAATTATCAATAGCACTCATAATATATTAATGTTATCATAAGGTTGTAAAAAAAAAAAAAGTATGAGTATAGTATGTGGTGAATTAATTATTTATGCACCAATTGATTTATTTTAATATTTTATGCACCAATTAATATATTAAATATTTTATTATGCATTAACACTTTTTTTTACAAACCAAATAACAATTAATTTATTAATTTATAAAAATTGAGTTTATTAATTTATAAAAATTGAGTACAATATGTATTCTTTGTATATGAAGCAAATAATAATTAATTTATTAATTTATAAAAATTGATATTCTTTGCATATGAAGCAAATAATAATTAATTTATTAATTTATAAAAATTGCGTACAATCCTCTTATCCTGCCGGTGGTTGGATTTGGTTGAATTCATGTGCTGACAAATCTTGATCTTGAACGACACGATTTTAGATGGGCTTGTTCTTTGTTGAAGTTGAATTTTAGGAAGAATGGTACGACTTTGGACTTTGCATGTGCTTGTTGCTCTTCTTCTTCTTGGGATGAATGTTGGACTTCTATATTTTATTCTGAAATTATGAGTCACTGAATTTATGATTCCTTGGATTTACAGAATTCTCAATTTTTGTACCCTTCATCGATGTCTCTATTTATAGGCTAATGATATGTGTCTTCTTCTAAGGATATAATCATAACTGGACCGGGCCGAATGAATGTCATTATCTTTTATAATAATAGTATAAATATAGATTTTGCAGTATAGTTTTATAAAAACTCTTTTAATAATAGTACAAATTTATTAGGGTAGGTAATTTGAATTTTATTAGTTAATTTTTAGAGTTTTATATCAATTAATAAATATAGGTAATTTAAATTTTATTAGTTAATTTTTACTGAAACGCTTTGCACATGTAATAATAATATAAATATAGATATAGATATATTCTCTCAATAGGAAAAATCCACTACTAAATTTTTTTTTCCCCCCTTCCCGGAAGGAAGAACCATTCTGATCTCTATTTTTGGGTTATCCAAAAGTCAAACCCAAAAAATACTGGTACAAAAGGATGGTAAAAATTTACCCAAGCCTCCCCTTTTAAAAGGATGGTTTGTTATGATTACAAGATCTCGTCTGTAATTTGATTTGAGAAATTACTCAAATCTATATTAAAAATTCAACAATTTAAACAATTTTACACCAACCTTCTTTATGTGATAATCATGGAATGACGAATAATACTGATGTGATCCACTTAATTAAATATAATGATTATAATACCCTTACGACTATCATATTATATAGAGAATTTTTAAAGAGATATTCTTAATAATTCAAACCCATGCCTATACAATCACGCAACGAACAATAAAGGAGAAAGTTTTGAGAGTCGATAATATCCACGGACGTCAAGTCGGTGAGTTTCAGAAGATCAAACAAAGACCAAATTAGAAGTTTTAGAGATGACCCAACTGAACCGAAAGCTAGGTTTTCAATGGATGAACAATTGCACCGCTTGAGGTTCGGTATTTCGAATTTCAGTGTCTTTTTGAAAAATCATTCTCTTTATTTGCAAAGCTAAAAGATTGTTAGCGATTGGGGTTTGGTAGAACGATAAGGTATGAGTCAAAGTTTAGTGTATTTTGTTTCAAACATACAGAATCGGTTTACTTTGGACTGCATGATCCACGAAGTTTTTACTACATAAATAATTGGTCTATTTTAATAATTGGAGTTTGCTCACTAAAAATTCTGATGCAATCTCTCTAACTTTACCTGCTTTACGTTATAGTATTTATCGTGAATGTTTAAATTGATCACAGTGATTAGATAATTTAATCAATTACAAATTGAGCAATTTGACCTACTAAATCTAGGTCATTAAAGAAGTTAATAATAATTTAAATCAACTAACAATTTTTGCATCTCGCATAACCTTTCACAATTATATCAATTCAATTTTTACTCGACTATTTAAACTCGAGTTTAATTTTAAAGTTTAAACGTATTTGGGTTGGTTCGGGTCGAGTAGAAGAGTTGAGTTGCGCTTGGATTAAAAGTATTATATTTAATTTAGTGGAGCAAAATAAACAACCTTGATGAAAGTGCTTAATTTATAATTTATATATTGACAAGTTTGTTTATAAAGAAATTTTCAAAACTTAATGGGTTGTCATCCAACCATTATATGTAAAATCTTTTTATGTAAATCTACAAATCTTTTCATGTAAATCTACCCAACTAACTCGTGGGACTTAATGGGTGGTTGTTCAACTATTATATGTAAAATCTTTTTATGTAAATCTATAAATCTTTTTACGTAAATCTATCCAACTAACTGGTGAGAGGTAAATCAAGCACAACTATAAGATTGTGTTGGTAAAATTGGAAATGAGATGAAATGAAATTATTGGACATGAATGACTTATGAAAATGAAATATGTATGAAAAAGAATATTAGAAGTCACGCACAAAACATTGCATTTTAATTTATAGTAGTTTTGCATTATACAAATGGAGAGAAATGTTGCATTGTATGACCATTGTTTATAAACTTTAAGTAAATCATACAGTTTATATTATATTTATAATTTGCTGAATATTATTTGTATTCACATTATTTAAAAAGAAAATAGTAATATTAGTTGAAAGAGATATTGGAGCAAACTAAAAACAAAAATCATTGATAGACCATCAATGAAGGAATAAATGCAACACACAACTGGAGAATGGGCAACCAAAAAACCTAATTAATAGGTTTAATCTAGAAGATAACCAACACAATTATATTTGTGTTGGTTTTTTTTAAAATTTGTTTCATGTCCATCTCATACCAAATAGAGAATAAGACACTAATGAATAATCCAAAAATGTTGAAAAAGGAACAACATTACGAATATTCTGATTATTTGAGTGTAATATTTTCATTAATAAAATAATTTAAAATTTAAAATTTAAAATCACTTGTCATCTTCTGCTACAAGCCTGTCTTCAAATTTTGATATTTTATGTAGTAGTTAAATGATTAACCTTATTTTAAAAAATGCTTAACGAAATATCAAAGACGGCTGTTAAAAATTTAACAATTAAATTATTAGAACATTTTGTAAATCCAAAATGTTCTAATAATTCTGCTACAAGCCAGTAATTGGATTAATGGCATAAAACTTGTTCTGAACTATATTTTTTATTTTTTTTTACTCCTTTTCAAGGAGGTAACATGCATATTTATTATAATTTTATAATTTAGAGGTGTTATTTGCAATTAATTTCAAAGAACATCTAGTAATTTTGAACACATTTTTAACAACCAACGTTCATGTATACTATCTGGATAAAACAAAATAAAGCAAAGTTACTTGAAAATTAAAAGAAGATATGAATAAGTAATAATGGTGGTGGTGAACTGGTGGTCAAAGGGTATATGGGTTGCCTAACTAGAACCTTTTTTTTTTCCTAAGAAGTTCACTCAAACAAAGAGAGATCATATTGTCTTGAAATAATTCCCATTAATTACCTAGTAGACTTTGCACAGATGCATTCAGTGTGTAATAATTATATAGATACTTTTAAGGTTTTATTTTATTATTATTTTTTTTTTGGACAAATTAGATTCTCCAGACTATTCTAATTGATAGTGGTTACTGGCCAGAAACTTTAGTACGTGATGTGATCAAGAAATTAGTAGATCCTCCTTTTCTATTTAATACTCCTTTGATCATGATATTTTGTACTTTTATATTAATATATTTTTGTGACTTTATTTAATTAGTTCACCAAATATTAATAATTTAAAATTATTTAATAATTTATTGTGACATGAATCTTTGGCCTTACGCTCCGTTTGTTTCGACCGAAAATATTCTTTTTAAAAAATATTTTTTTTGATAAAATATTTTTTTATTTTTACTTTGTCAGTATTTGACATACGTTGAAGTTGAGGTCAAGTCTATCGGGCTGAGCATGTAAAATAAGTTACAAAAAATTTATAAATTTTTTGTAACTTATTTTACATGCTTAGTGATAAATTTTAATATTTTTTTTTTTGTAAATATTTTATAACAACTAAACACAAAAAAATAAAAAAATACTTTTGAAAAATATTTTATGTCTAAATAAACAAACGGAGCCTTATTGTTCCATGCACTTGGAGAATAATTAGTTATGGCTGGTTTTGTGTAGCCCTTTTGGTTCCTTACACCTGGTGATATCTGTATAGTTATTCAATTTTGATACAAATAAGAGGAAAAATGGCAGATGCAAACACGTACTCTACTGATACACCATCACCTTGTTTCTTTGTAGGTTTAAATTTTCACCGTCTATTTTAAAAAGTAAATAAAATATCACTAGATCACAAGAATTGATGAGATATACTTTGAATTCATTAAACGCGAGAAATGATACCACAATAAATCATAAAATTGATAAATTAGAAATTAACATTTTTTTTTTTCGAGTAACTAACAAGAAATTAATTTGCACAAGTAAAAACTCAACCTTATTTATGTGATTCATTCGTGAACAAGAAATTGACTTGTACCGGTTCATGAATGTGAAATTCATTTAGTCTCCTAAAAAAAAAACTCATATAAGTAACCTGTTAAAGGTTTTTTATTTTTTAATTGTAATTTTAACAAGTTTCATACCTAATAAATATAAAAACACAATTAAAATATGTAACAAAAAAATATTACTCCATAAAATATAACATCCTCTACGATTTCATACATAAGACACGTATGAAAGTGGAGGGTACATTTTATAACCCAATTAGATTCAGATTCTATTTATAAATTAATTGAAATAAGTTCAAGCTCAATTTACTGAACTTGATTCTTATTCGGACATAATCTCAGTAATTCTCTCAGTAATGTTGAAATGAAATGAGAAAAAAACAAATAAAAAAGACACAAATGATAAATGTAATCCATTTTTATTTATTTATTTATAAATGCACTCTTTTTTTTTTCTTCTTTTTTTTCCCTTCTTCTTCTTAAATTAAATGAGGCAAATACCTTTATACTTGATTATCAATTTCTCACGAATTGAATCAAAGATAATGATGTCATTTCACTTTAAAAGTGGAGTGCATTTAATTGCCACAACCCTAGAAAAATTACATTAATAAAAATTAAATATATTTTTCTAATAATTGTTAAGTTGGAGAGGACAAATTTATTTTGACAAATCCATAGAAAGGACAAGTTAATTTTCTAAAATTTTGCCAATATTCATTTTATTTAAATTTTATTTTGACAAGAATTGATAAATAAGTTAGGTTAAAGATTACTTTAATTTGAATTTTGAAAACAACACCACACACACACACACTCTCTCTCTCTCCTCTCTGTTTCTCACACACATACACACACTCGCATGCAAATAAGAATAAGTTTGTCTCAATCGTTGATGGATGCCTATCACATGCATTTAGTCTTTCCAACGACAATTACCTTCCTCCAACTATTTCCTTCACCTACACGTTCTCTCTCCCTCTCTCTCTCTCTCTCACACACACTCTCTCTCTCCTCTCTGTTTCAATCATCTTTAATTTATGTGTTGAACTTAGTGAAGTCTTGTTATACTTCCACCAAATTAAGCAAGAAAAAATGGCGGAATCAGAGGAAGCTAAGAAGCTAGAATCGGATGAGGCGCCATCGGATCCTCCATCGGAACACACCGAAGCTCCGACAGACATTGCAGAGGAGAAATCGGTGATTATGGCACCTTCTTCTCCTGATGAGAAGCTCAGTCAGTCCAAACCACTTGCCCTTGTCCTAAGTAACATCCTCCATTCCTCCCTCTCGAGTATCTCTATACGTATATAAAAATATATATCCAATATTTTCTCCTTTGGTTTTGTTGCTTGTTAATTTTGGTGATTCTATGCCTATAACCTCTGTTTGATGACTAAGAAATTGGAATAAATGAAGAGGACACTAAGAAAACTTTATTTTTTATTTTTTTTTCTACTTGTGGTGGACTCTATTTTTTGGGAGGCCACATTATTATTATTATTAGTATTCATCTTGGTAAGAAACGAACTCATTCACTGTACCTCTTTTAAAAATTTGAATTCCGAAATAATATTAAGTTACAATCTTTGTTCAAACTAGTTAATAAGTATGTATGATTTCTAATGGTTATTTTGAAGTTTCTTTTTTATAAAAAAATATCCAATACGAATTCACTTCTATTTTTTCCTTTTTTCTTTAAAAAAAATCTTATTAAATTAACATATTATGATTTTGTTATTTATCTGTCCCCAAAATCATTTTTTTTTTTTTTTTTTAGAATCTAAAGAAATTTTTTAATTTTAATTTTATAGAACTGAGTACTTTTTTCCCTTCTATTGAATAGTATAATCTATGTTTTTTATCTTAAATTTTTTGACAGGAATAGTATTTAATAGATAATTAGTTTTTGCTCACCTTAAACTTTAGTTTCAATGATTTTGATTTTTTAAAAAATATCGAATAAAATAAAATCTCAAACTTTTTATATTCTGTGATATTTTCTTATAGCCATATGCAATGCTCATGATTTTTAACCGTAAAGTCAAAAGACTTTTTGGATTCAATTAAATTTTCATGGTGCCAATCATGGAACATTAAACTACAACACAATGAATAATTGTTAAGTAAATTTCATTTACCTCTCTCGAAGTTTGTCAATGTCTCACATATACCTCTCTATATTTTATAATTTCACTTACCTCCTTCAAAGTTATGATTTATGTAAGAGATTCCCCTGTGCTTAACCATTTTGCCTTTCTAATGCCTAATGATGGCAAACATATTTTGGGAAAAATGATTAAAGAAAAAAATATATATCACTGACAGGGGAAGTAATTGTGATTTTGAAATGTAAAGAGACCTGTGTGAAATATTTAAAAATCTCAAAGAGAGACACAAATCAAGGTTATACAAATTACTAGAAATAATTGAAAACAATACATCAATTCTTTGTAGAGTGTCTCATTATTATGCACACGTGTGGTCTACTTAATGTCATATTGTCTCATCTCCTTGAGTTGATTTACACTTTGAATCATCTAATTCGTCTAAAATACAGTTTTTACTTTCAATAAATTTTCACGAAGCATGAAAAAACTTATGTTAAATATTTACTTTCTGCCATACTAAGTTTGATTCTCTATCTCTTTCAATTTTTTTTTTTTTTTACTCGTGACAGAGTTATCAGATTCTGAAGAAGGGAAAAGCAGTGAAGGTATCAACATAAGTAATAAGGATATTGTCTCAATGTTCTTTCTTATGATTTATATTTTGTATATCATGTCATAGCCCTTTTTTTTTTTTGGATAATTGAGGTGTTCAAGACTTTACCTCCATTAATTTAGGTAGACTCGTGCAAGGCGCCCCCAAACAAATCGGGTAAAGTTAGGATTATGTTCAAGGGTGTAACTTGTAATAAATTATTTGCATGTAGGAGAAATTGAATTTGAAACCTAATATTTTATGAGACATTAAGACCCGAATCTTTTTCAACTAGACCAATCTGTCAAGTTATCATGTCGTAGCTTGATATTTGAAATAATGATTAAATAATTTGACCATATTTTGTTTAGATGATGTGCTTGCACGAGTTGAAAAAGAGAAGAGGCTGTCTTTAATCAAAGCATGGGAAGAAAATGAGAAGTCAAAAGCTGAGAACAAGTAAGAGCTTTCTTGAATATTATTCTATTATTTCAAGAATTAATGCTGAGAATTATATACATATTTTAGATTGAAAAAGATATATGTTATACTTTTTTTTTTTATTTTTATTTTTTTTTTTTTTTTTTTTTTTTTATTTTTATTTTTTTTTTTTGTTCTTTTCTGAAAAGCAAGATATATGTTATAGTTGCCAACCCCTCTTTAGTCCAAGTGGTAGGATTGTTTTATGTTATTTTTGAAAGTCCGGTTTCAAATTTTCATACCCTTCTCTCCACGAACCCCTAACACTAGTGAAAAAATATATATTATATATATATTGTTGTAGCCAATACAAATTCATGTAATCTAATATTTTAGATTCCAGTTTTGCCTTTCATGATCATTTTCATTTTTCACTATAATGCCAACATTTTGAGGAAATTCTAAAAACATAAATTAAAATTGACTGTCATTTTCTTTCAAATCAAAATAGTATATATTTTATTTGTATTAATCAATATGGAATATGAGTACTGAAACTAATAATGTGATATTGTTGAACAGAGCTCATAAAAAGCTGTCTGCCATTGGAGCATGGGAAAGCAGTAAGGAAGCAATTATAGTGGCTGAACTCAAACAAATTGAGGTACCAAGTTATAGTTCATGTTTTGAAAAAAATTATTTAATGATTCACAAATACCAATCTTTTAAGAGGCCGGACACTAGGGTTGCAACTTAAGCGGGTTGGAAGTGCAGCTCGAGTCCAATCCGACCCTAATTCAATCTTAACCCAACCTTGAATTCTAACTACTTAACCAGAACCCAACTTATGTTCTAATTTTAAATTCAGGTTTGCAATTCGGACTGAAATTTAAAGTGATATCAAGTTAATTTCAGATAAAATTACTCATAAATACAAAACATTTACAAATTATTAATTTTTTTTTAATAAATTACCAACAAATTCAAAAATTAATTATCTAAAGTGTTAACATACAATACGTTAAAGATTTAACAAAGAAAGTTGAAACGAAAAAAGGTGATCATAATTTGAATATTATATATAATGTATTTAAAATAAAAATTATATATGAAAATAATATTAGAATTCAGATTCGGGTAAGCTCGGTTGCTAACACTTAAACCCAAGTCTAATACTAATTAATTTCGGATTGAAAATTTTCAACCCAAACCCAACTCTCATTATAAAAGAACAATACTTGCTTTAGGCCGCATAAGAAGGAACTTCTTTGTTATGATGAAGTGGTCCAATAAAATATCAATAAGTGTTTAAGTTTTAAAAGAAAAAAAAAAAAAAAAATGACGAATACAGACAATAGAAACTAACCCTTCCCTATTTCTCTTTCAAGCAAAGATATATATTGTTTCTGTGTTTTGAATCTAAAATCAAACATTATTCTAGAAAATATATATATACACACACCACATATTATAAAGAGTGGGGCCATGTGGGGGAATGACCTTAGACCTACATTGGCTTTATCACGAATGATTATGTTTATTCTCTCAAATACAGAATTAGATGCTATATATAATGTATGAATGACACATTATACCAAATTAAATAACTTTTTTAATAGAAAAATCTAATAGATCTATTTTTATTGTTTTTATTTGGTGATAATCATCTTTAAACAATTAAATTTGGATGAATAGTTTGTAATTAAATACAAAAGATAAGAAGATAAACATGAAATGTTTTGAAATTTGGGAAAGATTGGGACGAGAAAAGAAAAAGAAAGGTAGATAACATTAAAAAAAAAAAAAAAAAAAAAAAAGGAAAAATTTTAATTTCTACATCAACGAAAAATGAATTCATGATATACATTATTTTCCATGAATTATTTCCATAAATTTATAGTGATTATTTGTCTCAACTCTCATTTATGATTGAATCTAATTGATATATATATATATATATATATATATATATTTCTAAACGATGTTTGATTTTAAATTAAAAAACAAAAATAATATATATCGCTACTTGAAAAAAATCGAATTAGACCCAGGTCGAATTTGGTTTGTCCAATCCAAATTACACCTCCTATCAGGCACCATCATTGTGGAGAAAAATAATAAAGAAAACAAAAAACTTTAGTACAATAATGACAAAAAGGAATAATAATATATACATGGCTCCTCACTAGAGGAGGAACCTCCTCCTTGTACGTGATATTGTGAATCCCGTGTCTTCTTTTATTATAATAAATTAAAAATAAATCACAAAAGTAAAAAAATAATTTAATTTTGAATGCGCCAATGTGATATTAATTTAATAATATAATATAATATAATTATATGATGACATGTCACCAAGAAAAGTTTCTATCAAGGTTGAGGATGCCCTGTTTAAGGATGGATGTAGAAATTCGTAGGAGGGAACTCATATAGAGATATTTTTTTTTGATAATTTTAATTGGGATAATTTTAAAATTTTATGAATATAAATACAAAAAAATATAAATTTAGCAGTGTAAAATACAATAGCCCACGGTACATCGGTGCCTCCCGGGATTGTTCTTAGAGGACTACAGCCTTTTATATCTAATTAGAATTGGTATTATTTTGAAATGACATGTGCAGGAGAGATTGGAGAAAGAGAAGGCAGAGTATGTGGAGAAACTGAAAAACAAGGCAGCACAAATGCACAAGGCAGCAGAAGAAAAGAGGGCAACCATTGAAGCCAAACGCGTGGAAGAAGTTCTCAAGGCTGAGGAGATGGCGGCAAATTACCGTGCAACTGGAGGTGCTCCAACGAAACTCTTGGGATTTCTTTGAAGTTCAAATTTCAGGCGTTTGGATTCCTTTTTTTAAATTTCTTCTTTGGAACTTTATTTGTTGTGTACTGAGTGGCTAAATGGTGGGGAATTGGTTGTTCATTGTATTGTGTCTGTGTGTGTGTGTATAACTGTATTTGCATAAATTTGCCAAAAAAAAAAAAAAAAAAAAAAAAAAAGGAAAATTTGTATCATAATTTTATATGCTCTATCTTTATATAAAAAACACATAGTATGTGTTGCTTATTTTTTCAAACACCGAGATTCGCAGATGCCTCGATAGTCCAGTGAGTTAGTACTTTAATGCTTCGTTTGGTTGGAAGAATGGAAAAATGGATGGAAGAGATAAGGGAATGGATGGATGAGGAATCCCTAGAGAACGGAATGTGTCTTCTTCATTTTTTGTTTGGTTGAATGGAATAGATAGTAGAAAGAATGGATGGAGTGATACTTTTTTTTTTGTTTGGTTAGAAAGAAGGAAAATAGATTTTTTATATTTTTTTACCAATATATCCTTACTGTATAAAATAATAAAAAGTAGATATTCATTTGAATTTTTTTGAAAAGGTAAAAATTAAAAATTACATATTGTAGTTAGTTATTCATTTTCTCTCTCATTCCTTCCCCCAAATTAGGCGGATAGAAAAACACAAAGAAAGGAAGGATGAAGCATCCCTCCTTGCTTCCTCCCTCTCTTCCCTTCCCTCCAACCAAACACGAAAAGCCTCACCCATCCTTCCTCTCATCCATTCGTCCTCAATTCTTTCCTCCAACCAAACATAGCTAAGTGAATTTTGAAGACTTTTTATATCTAGTCAATTAACTTTTAACCCTTCTTGCCCCAAAAAAAAATAAAAAATTAAGACATAACTCATTTGGGAGCCAAAATAAAATTTTAAAAATATACTCGTATTAATTAATTATAATATAGTTTTGTACATAGAAGTCTTTTATATATTTCTTATTATATATAAAAAAAGTACTCCGTATTTCATAACCCATGCACACATTCAAGTCTAATTTTGGCATACATACATATATATATATATATATATATATATATATATATATATATAAGATCACGTTTAAATAAAAAAAGTACTCCGTATTTCATAACCCATGCACACATTCAAGTCTAATTTTGGCATACATAATATATGGAGTACATATATATTTAAATGGACAAAAAATCTGAAGTTAAAAAATAATAAAACAAACATAAAGCTTAAAAGATTCTAAACTGATGGTATTATTTATAAGCTTTCTCGGGGTTAGTAAATATTTTAATATATTTTGATTTCAACAGTCCATTCTAGGGAGGTGGTGGTTAATATTTTTTTTTGGGTAACTATTTTTAATTTCAACTATTTAGTCCTAGTAGAGTATTCAAAAATTTTGATGTAGGAGTGAGTTTCTTATAAAAATAAAATAAATATATAATTTTTTTGATAAAAAATAAAATAAATAAATAAATAAATCAATCAAATTGGTTGGATCCCCCTTTTATCATCTTATTCTATCCTTTCCCACTGCCCAATAATGAAAACATACTCCCTCCTCCCCTTTCTTTTCCTTCTCCTACTAAACACACTGTAAAGTGAAAAAAAAAAAAAAAAAAAAAAACACACCATTCAATCTCAATACAACAATTGGTATTATAAATATGCAATAAATACATTTTACTATATACATAAAATACAATATATAACAGGAGAAAATGCATTAAATACATTAATTTTTGGTCATTATGCTTAGTAGGACCACATTTGATTGAATTTTAACATGATAAAAATTAAATTATGAGTTATAACAATACATTAATTGGCATTTAAGAAAAAATAATAACAAATCTGTCACATAATAATAATAATAATAATAATAAAATGTTTAAATTCTGTCTTTTATATGTTTTAACTTTTTGCCAAACACCTATGCTTATTCAAGCATTCCTCCACCGCGTATGGGTTTCTTAACTTTGTTGGAGGCATCCAAGGAATAACTTCGTCTCCAAGTTCTCTCTCTCATTTCCTCTTTCCTCTCCCTTTCCTCCCTAAAAAGTGCGCTTTTTCTTTCTTTCCACTCTCATCTTACCTAAACCTCTTCTTTATTCAAAAGAGCTTTTCCATTCCTAACTTTTGCCTCACCCAAAACCTCTGATTCCCTACCCCCACACAGAGACACAGAGAGATTTATCATCTACTCAGATTCTGAGGGAATGGTAAAATTAACAATAATTGGAAGAGTGAAAGATGGGGTGGCTCTTGCACAAGGTACAAGGTATGTGAATGAAGAGACTGACAACTTGTCAAGTTACAAGCAACAAGGAGAGTTCATACTCAAAGAAATCTCAAGAGGGTCATTGCCGCCTTCAAAGATGACCATTCGTGTCGATCACCATTGCTTCAAGTATCATTTTCTTCTCTATTTTCACTCCAATCTTTAATTAATTTATGGGTATCCAATTATGCAATGTCTCAATGCATTTCACTGATTTTTTCCCCAAAATATGACTTTTTTTTTTTTTTTTTTTTTTTTTTTTTTTTTCTGTGAGGCACATTTATTATTATTATTATTTTTTATGGCATTTGAAATTGGTCCACTAAGAATGGGTACATTTGAAAATGTGACCTTTTGTGTACAATTTAATGGGTACATTTGAAATTGGTCCACTGAGAATGTTTTACAGGACAAGAGTAGGGTCTTCAATTAACATCATCTGCAGCTTTCATTGACATTTGATAATGACTATGAAGTTTTTGGGATCATAGGCTTTTAAAGGCCACTGGATTTGAACTGAATTGATTTCATTCCCATTTCCTGATTTTCTAATTTTCCATATATAGCTATCTGTCAATCCATTGAAGGGGGCAAATTTTAAGCATTTTGTGATTTTTTGTGTTTATTTGTTTTACTTAATTTTGTGATGTTTAGCTACATGGTTGAGAATGGAGTTTGCTTCATCACATTGTGTGATTCGGCATATCCAAGAAAACTAGCCTTCCATTATCTGCAAGATTTGCAGAAGGAGTTTGAGAAGTTTGACATGAGCCTCATAAGTAAAATTACAAAACCATACAGCTTTGTTAGATTCGGTAATCTCCACTTACCACTGCAAGTTGATTTTATTGACCAAAATATATAAATCTATGTTCGGTAGCATGGAATTGGTACCACTGCAAGTTTGGACTAATTTTCCCCCAATTCTAAGCTCGAGGCACCAATTCCATGCTACCGAATATAGCATTAATATTCTTCCTTTCCAAGGAATTCGAGGAAGGAAAAAAAAATTCTGAATCTTTTGAACTCCCACTGTCAAAAAAATTAAATTTATCATATTTTTGGCTGCTGATTAATATTAAGTATTTGATGTTTTGTGTTTTTCCCAATTGTTGGGGTGGATGGCAGATGGTATCATTGGCAATGTTAGAAGGCAATATGTAGATACAAGAACACAGGTTAATCTGTCGAGGCTAAAAGCTAATCGCCAACAAGAACTAGATATCATGACAGAGGACATGTCTGAAATAGTAGAAAGAAGAAGAAGAATTGGTTAGCTTCTTCTCTTTTTTTCTATTTTTGTTGTTCCTTCTATTTAATGGCATGTTAAATTAGTGAATACTCACAAAATGTGCATGTTTTCCCTTTGTTATTATCAGAAATGCTTGAAATACTAATGGCAACTCCAAGAATTGCTTCCCCAATATGGGTTTCTCCATTACTAGAGGTATGTATATAAATGCATATAAACTTCTCTGTGTTTATCTTCCATTTTCGGAGCAACCAATCGAAAATAAATCATCTCTCATTTGCTGCTAAATTTCAAATTTTCTTCCTTTATGTGCAGGTAATTGCATTGAAATGGATACCTACCACCATCGTCGTTGTTGCTGCTACTGTTCTGTTATGGACCAGCTTAGTCCTCACAGAGAACTTCATGGGAACGAGTTTATAACATTGTCAAAAGCAAGGATTACAAGAACTATCTACTTTGAGAGCAGTACAGAAAATGGCACAGCATGATATTATAGAGTAGCTCGACAGTGGAAATCGGTTAGTACTTTTAAAATTTGTTGAAAAGTGATTCTATGGAGCTTCCCTACTGCTCTGTGCAACTTTAATGTATCTACATTTCAATATATATCAAGAAATTTTCGGAATACATGCCTCATTTTGTGTTCTGCTAGATTATGCAAGAGAGCCTCAGCTTCTGACCATTTCTCAAGTTGAGCTCATTTGACAACTTTGGTTCTGAACTTGAATTTTTCTGTGGCTTGAATTTGTATCCACCTTTTTTTAAAGGACAAAAAGTTCTTAGTTTTTAAAATTTAACATTACTACATCAAAGATTAGGTGGATATAGCTGCATGAATTTTTAGTATTTTTAATTATTCACACATAAAATATATAACTATTTAAGTCAAAATACATTGGGGCTAAGAATAAATTGAAAAAATAAAAAATAAAAAATGGAAAAGAATAAAATATACCAAGCTTCACATCATGACTCTTTTTGATATATTTTTTGCCTTTTTGCTGTTTGTCTGAAGCAGTGACTTCTAGGAAGAATCACTTTTATTAATTAGAATGATTGCTAAAGTCCTATTTGAATCTTGTATCCAGTGAAATTACTGTTTTAACTGGCATATCTTCACAACTATGAAAATTATTGATGTTAATTATTTGAACACTATATAACAGTTAGAAGAAATACAAGATCCAAGGTGGTCAAAACAATAATCATAGTGACTGAACTGACCCAAATTCTAAAATTACAAAAATTAGGAAAATATTTGGTCAAAATAGAGTGACTGACAGTGATTTGCAAATCCATCTTTGGCAATAGTCCTTTCAAATTCCCCTAGTTGTCACATTAGAAGTAATGTGGGAAGAAAAACAGATCAGCTTTCATGATCACCAAGTGAATTCCAAATGAAACCCATATTGGACATCACTTTATGCTAAGCTTTCTTTAGAGTTGGTTTCCTAGCACCTTACAAGCATATTCCATGCTTGTGTTCTTTCCACATGTCACTCTATTTAGGCTTCTGTTTATATGTGTGTGTGTGTGTGTGTGTGTTTTACTGTGAAAATTTGATGTATTAGACCCATAATACGAGAGAAAGATTTGTCTGTGTGTGACTGTGTGTAACGAAGAATCAACCCACTCACTAGCCGTATTGGACTCTCGGATGGTTTAAAAACTCTAGATGCACATAATCGTCTGCAAACCACATGCATCATTTAAATCCAGGCCTCAGTACCTCCTGTGAAACACGAACCAAGAATTTAAGGGGAGTACTCCCAAATGCCTTACCAGCTGAGCTGTCCAATGGTAGAAAGATATTGTTATAAATTTCACAACATTAATAGAGAAACAATGTGTTTGATGACTTTATTAATATACAAGTGAGGGGTGTCTTCACTCTTCAGAAGCAACTTAGGGAACACTTTTTGCAGAGAAACAAGTAGATGTAGTGTAAAAAACTTCCTATATGTACATATCATTGTTCATGTCAAAACCACTACAGATATCATCACCATATATAAAGTCAACAAACTCATTCTCTGGAATGTGACCCTCAAATTTGAATTCTGGATGGAAAGTTTCACCACCCGAATTATCGCTTAAGCGCTGGTGAAACTCGCTACCAAATGACCCCTCATTCATTAATAAACCGTGGAAAAAACCATCTTCGGAGCTTGAATTATGATCAAAACCATTCTTAGTAACTGCTGGCTCACCCGAATTACCATAGTCCTGCCCCTGAAACTGATCCACTGTGAGCCACTCAGAAAACAGAAGCTTTGGTAAGCTGCTTTGGCGATCTTCTTTTGGGAACTCAAAATTTTGTTGTGTGGACTGATCATTCATATTTGTTGATGATGCTCCTTCTGTGTGTTCAAATGATTCGAAACTCGGATTCCAAATCATCGATTTCTGGGGAGAAGGTGAAGATTCTATATTTTCTGTGCTTGAACTTGTGTGTTCTGTTTTAGTGTGAGCTTCCTGATCAGTTTGTTCCATTTTGGCCACTTTCTTCTTCAGATAAGAATGCCAATAGTTCTTTATCTCATTGTCAGTTCTTCCAGGCAAATGTTGGGCTATTTGTGACCACCTGATAGATCAGTTGTTGATAGTTTCTTCATTAGTTTCTTTTGCCGTGAAAATTAGAGTTTCTAGGAAAGCATGTGAAGATGCTTGTGAAACAACTATAGTAGTAATAATAGGCAATGTTTATACAATGTGGTCCAAAAAGAAATAAAAATAATTTAAACTTTTGAATTTTTAATTGAGCAATGATACAACTTCCGAATTCGAAGGATGCGAAATGATGAAAACGTGAGGGGTGTGGGCCTCACTACATGACACCACTGGACGTTCACTCTCGTCCTTCCATTCAGGAATCTTCCGAATTGGGATGATGTATCTTTATTCTTTTTTAACTTTTTACTTCTCCATCCTCTTTCTATTTTCAAAAATACCATCATTACTGACTATACGATCGACCTGATGTAAGAATTAGTGATTGAAATAAGTACCTAATAAAAGTTGACAAGAGTCCTTGTTGGACTATATTTATTAGAGTAACAACAAAAACCGATCGATTTTTGTAACAGTAATCAATACAAATTGGTGATTAGAGGCGGCTGATTAATAAAGCACTTTGAACCAACCACCTAGCCAAGCATGCAAAGTTTACTTAAGTATCATTTACTCTGTAACTACCTAAATTATCTTTGAAGAGGTGACCCACCCACATGCAATAGAGGTTGGGCCCACCCCCTTTATTTTAGAAGAGTGTAATTATATATATATATGTATATATATATATATATATATATATATATATAATGGTTGAATTAGAGTTATACATATGCATTTTGATAGAGTGGACATTTATTGCTTACTTGTTGCCTAGCATGACATGAAGGGTCAGGATAGTTTCCTCCTCTTGTGCAGTAAACATCCCTCTCTTCAATCCTGGCCTCAAATAATTTATCCACCTTAATCTGCAGCTCTTGCCATTCCTTTGCAACCCTGCATGTAAGAACAACAAGACCGTAATTAAAGGTCAACTGCAAGGGTATTTTAGGCAACACAATAAAAATTCTATTGTTATTGACTCAAAACCATAATGTTAAAGCAATTTTTTACCATGTCTTTTTGTAGACATTCCATAAATTGAAACCATAGAGAGGGTGGTCCCTGAACTTCTTACCTTTAAGGTCAAAATTTTTATTGGTTTTGCTATTGTAAAATAAACCAAGTAGCATTAAAAAAATCAAATATTTAGAAACATTCCTATCAATCATATATATTAACATCAACTTACTATATATATAGGCTATATAGCCAATGTATGACCAAGTGATTGAAAAGTCTATCTTCTACTACCTAAAATGCCCTTTAATACGAAGGTGAATGAATGCTCATCTGAGTATATATGATTTTATTCATTTTCAGTCTCAAGTCAAGCCAATGCAGTGCATTCTAGAGATTTGGGACATAATTTATATACTAGTGCTTTATATTTCACAACAATATGCATATATACAGAGACACAGACACCCACATATATATATATATATATATCTATATCTATGAAATAAATCTGAAAAATCTATGCTAAAATACACATTAACTACCGACTATATCAAATTATGGTAAAGGCAAGCTTGTGTTACACTTTTATATAAAATGTTGTGATAGATAGTGTGTGTGTGTATATATATATATATATAATTGCAAGTTCTTAGTGACAAATGCATTATTAAAATGGCATCAGTATGGGTATGCAAAGTGGTGGAAGGCGGTGGACTTACCGGCGTTGATTGGAACAGTGCTCCAGCAGCCATGGCCGTGGTTGAGGATGTGATTTCTGAGCCTTTGGTCTTCATCCGGTGACCATAACCCCTTCTTGTGCTTCAGCTTTGGCTTCTGATCCAATGTCTTGTAACCCATTTTACAGACAACTAAAATTGGTCAGAAAATGAAATGTAAGAGCTTATGACTTTTAACTGTGTGTGTGTGTGAGAGAGACAGGGAGAGAGAGAGAGAGATGAGGTTATGGAGAGCCGACCCTTGATGCTTTAGAATTTAAAGGGAGGATTAGTTAAGAGTATGGTGTTTTCGAGAATAAACAAGTGTAGTTAGAACTTGTCATAGCAGCAAAAGTAAGAACACGTTTGGATATTTTTTAAAGGTTGGTACAGGCATGGTGTTTGAGAACATTGTATGTGTGTGTGTGTGTGAGAATTGACTTTGTGATAACTAACACATACATAGTAGGTGTCCCCTTCAAAAAATTCTACTGTCTTTGGACCACTACTGACGTGTGACCAATTGCATCCTTGTATTATTGTGTCATTGAGCAGGCTTAAAAACTTGTGATGACAAAGTGTGACACCTCATACAAAACCAAATTGGTTCAGACCAGAAATTGTTGCTGTTTCATAGACAATGCCGTGCTAAATAACTGATATACTTTCAGTGATGTTGTGTTCGGAATCTGGTGCTAGTCGCATTGTGATTCGTCTTCGATCTAAGGATTTATTGAATTAGCTTTATGTGGGTCCAAACATATTAAATTTTTAGGGTTTTTTCGCTTTTGTGTCTTTTGCTTATGGGTCGTGAACTCTTTTTATTATTTTCTTAAAACCTCATATATAAAAGTGTTTAGAGTTTGGAGTAAAATAATTTAGAGACATTGAAAGTTGGGAGACAATGAAAATTGCAAAAATGGGAGTGAGAGCGAGAGTTAGGGTTTGGGATCTAAAACTTGTAATTTTTGGATTTTCGCAAAGTGAATTCTTTCGCTAGATCTTTATTGTGAATGTAAGCGTTTCCGAACTATGCTAAATCTTTGTATTCTCAGTATGTTGCATGTTTATTTTCTGCCGTATTTCTTGGGTGTCACAATACTCCTTTTGAATTTTTTTCTCTTCCTTTTATTTATATATATATACACATATATATGTATATGTGTATATATATATCCTTTAATAAAATAGGTCTAACAATATGTTTAAGAAGATTTGAACCTTTTATCCTTCACTTTGAAAGGAGAAAAGAAACTACTAGGGGTGCATAGAAAACCTGTTGAACCGATAAACCGAAGATTTGGTTTCAATTTTTTGCGGTTTGGTTTCGTTACGGTTCCAAAAACATAGAACCATTTATAAATGATTCGGTTACGGTTTGAAGTTTACTAAGACGAAATCAAATTAAACCGTTTTATAAATTGTATATATATTTATATATTTTATATTATATAAATAATAGAATAATAAGATTAACCTTTAAACCACTCAACTATCTATCATAATATATAATAATAAATTATATTATAATAGAAAATTATATTATATATAATATATATTTTAATTTCAAAAATATATTAGATTGAATTATAAAATATTTAGAACTGTGGAATCGAATCAGATCAAATTGTTTTCTCACGGTTTGGTTTGGTTTCATAGTTCGATTTGATTCTAATTTTTATGAAATCAAACTATCTAATTCAAAACGTGTGCACCCTAAATACCACCCACTAGCTACCTTGGGGTTGAAATCCAAAATAGTGATGTACTTTCTTTTGGATTAATTTATTTGGAAACCAAGATAGTAAGAGCCCAGTTTCGCATTTGTCTTTGAAAACTACGTTCTTGAAGACCGAAAAAAAAAAAAAAAAGGTTTCATATAGCGTTTTGAAAAATTTAATCCGGAAACAAAAAGAATCTTTCGCAAATGAAGATTCATTCGTTTATGTGTTGATGATTTTTTTTTTTATTGTGAAGAACAAAAAATAAATAAATACAAGAAAAGAAAAAAAAAAAGAGCAAATTCAAGAATTTAGGTTTTTCAAATCAATTGAATTAGATATGTTTCTTGTTAATGTTAACAACTGAGAAGATTTTTCAAAGAAAAAGAAAAAGACAAACATGACATAGGCGTGTCACTAGAAACTAAAAAGTTTATGTATACTTTAATTTCTGTCACATTATTTAATTTATTTTTGTATTTGTTTATAAAGGGACCATATAATAAAATGAAGAAATTATATGCATCATTACGTAAATTTGTCATAAAGGGCTAGTTAATATCACCTTTCTCAAATGAGGACCTATCATAAATACACAATTGGTGTTTCGCCCCACTTGGGGTTTGAACTTGAGCTCCCAACCCCAGACAAGGGTCCACTTTTTAATTTTTTTTTCTTGTATTAGTTAGCAAATATTTAGTTCCAATCATAACTTTATATACGCAACCTTTAAGGTTGAAGCACCATCTAGACCCGTAGGCTAATGACATCTCCTCTTATTTTAAAGCTAGTAGGTTAGAGTGAAAAAGGAAGATAGAAAAAAAAAAAAAAAAACAAAACAAAAAACGAATGTCACTTGCAATGTACAGCAATCAAGTAGGGTCATTTTCTTCTCAGGACCTTTTGCTTTTTTTTTTTTTTTTTCCTTCATGTGGGAGTTATAATTAATTCTTGTTTATCTACTTTTATCCACGTGGGGAGGAGTAAAGCGTCTACACTAGGTTACAAAATTTAATCTTACGGGGGTTCCATTTTGTCATAAAGGACAAGTTAATATCACCTTTCTCAAATGAGGACCTATCATAAATACACAATTAGTGTTTCGCCCCACTTGGGGTTTGAACTTTGAACTCTCAACCCCAGTCAAGGGTTAAGTGGTAAAAAAATTATTTTTAAATTATTGGTTAGGAAATATTTAGTTCCTATCATAACTTCGTATACGCAACCTTGAAGTTTAATGCACCACCAAGACTTGTAGGCTAATGACATTATTTTTTTTTTCAAAGCAGATCGTAGTAGGTTAAGTCTTTTCTAAGAGTAAAAAAGAAAGAAAGAAAAAAAATCAAATAACAAAAAACAAATGTCACTTGCAATGTACAGCGGTCAATTAGGGTCATTTCCTTCTCCGGACCTTTCGCTTTCTTTTTTCTTTTCTTTTATATCATGTGGGGGTTATAATTAATTCCCGTTTATCTACTTTTATTCACGTGGGGAGGAAAAAACCGTCTATACTCAGCTACAAAATTTAATTTATACACTGCTGGGGGTTCCATTTTTCTCTTAATGGGAGTCTTGGGTGTCAATTTATAAGAGGCCAAAATCAACCATGTTGATGTTGAACCTCATAGAACACTCTATTGTCTACTGCTGAACCATTGCTAAGGGGGAAAATGCGAGTAAATAATTAAAGTATATGGTGAATCTGGTTACTAAGTTGGTAATCGGACATCTTCACTCAACAAAATTAATCTAAACAAGTAACTCTAAAACTGATAAATTGGCAAATTTGTTATTATTTTATGTTTGGTGGCATCGAATTTGCACCTTAAATTTGAAATTGAAAAAAATTTAGCTTAAATTTTGAACCTAACTTTTTATAATTCCAAATCTAAAGAACTGATTTCAGCTTCCAAACATAACATTAATGTTTTTCGCTTTGAGAGATTTGAACACACTTACCTTCCATTTTGAAAGTAGAAAAAATATCACTAGATTGCACGCTATGATTATATTACGTTACGCACCCAAAAAAGTTAAAAATTAGAAGAAGTAATGTAGCAATAAAAAGAAAATTAAATAGGCAATATCAACCAAAGAGTTTGAACCTAAGTAAATCAAATACTTTCAAGAAACAAACAAAAGGCTCATGGTTCACATTACCCACAATTGAGTGAGTCTAAACCAATTTATTTGCCCTAATCATTTTCATTCCAACGGCAAAATCCTATAGAATCCTCAAATTTGGCTATTTTTGACTACCCTACCCTACCCTATCAACTTGTGATTGAGTGTAGGAAATATCAAAAGAAAAAATGGGACATTATATAGAACAAAAATCAAACATGTTATGATTGTGATCACAAAAGATTGTGATCAATAAATCAATGGCTTCAAGAAATAGACAAAAAAAATATCTAATCATACATCAATCATTGTTGCAAATCAGCCACACTGTCTTGATACTATTTCATAAAATGATAAAAAAAAATAATAATAATAAAAAATATTGAAATCACCCTTTAAATAAATTAAACTCCTTCAATTTAAAAATGGCAGAGTATAAAAAGTACATGGAAAAAATAATAATAATAATAATTCAGCGTGGTACTGCCAGTAAATTGATATTAAGAAACTTCTCTAATATATGAATAAACTAATGTAATTTTATGTCAACGCAATTTGTCACAAGGCCTTTTCACTTTAAATAATATACATAGTACGAGTAATAGCTTAGACATTTTCTACTCGCATTAAAAATTAAAGTTGCTATTGGGATTAACTAAAAATATATATAACAAAGTCTTTCTTTAATATAAAATTCCACGTGCCTAAAATAGAAAGGCTTGGTTTGTTTCATATCCTACACTTTAAATCTCATGTCCACCTAACTTATTTAAAAAAACATAAACTCATACAATGGATGGAAGAAGATCATTTAAAAAAATTAAAAAGGTACATTTATTAAAATGACAAATATTTATAAAGGAACATTAGCTAATGTGGTATGAACGCATATTTTCAAAAGAGAGGTTTGGGTGTTTGTTAGGGACAATATTGTATGACCCGTATGTTTGTTTGAACTTTTCAAAAAGAAAAAAACATTATACATAAGACGGTGAAGAAGGTTAATTAGCTTTAAATTCAGATTAAAGGAATTTATTTATCTACTTATTTTTATATATTTTAGTCCTATTTTTAATCACCTTTCTGTCAAAGGTTGTAATGTGAAAGAAGAGATTACTATCACCAAACCATGACTAGGTTGCAACTACTAATTTTGAGTCTTTGGCAACTAAGATTCAATAGTTCCAATTGAAACTGAACTATCTTTCAGCATTTGGTAATTCTACAGTTACATTGTAAAATGAAGAGCAAAAGGTTAATATATATATATATCTAGAACATTTTTTTTTTTTTTTGGGTTGAAACTGAAAGCTATTCTAAACTCCATGGATGTTACATAATTTTGAGTAAACCACATAAATTTATATATTACTCCTTGTGTTTTCATTTTCTTTAATGTTAATTTTTCTCAACATACACTTCTCTAACGCTTTGTTTGGTAGACAAGAAGAAAAATTAGATGGAATGGAGAGAAGAAGAGATAAATGAGATTTTTGTAAGGAAGAGATTATGTTCTAAACTCTTTTTGTTTATTTGGATGGAATTAATAGAAAAGAATAAGATGATACCTTATTTTGTTTG